TAATAGGAGAGTGTGCATTTTTACAGACTCCAAATCGTTCCTTCAAGTAATGGAATTTAAAAAAAACTACAATTCTTTGGTTTGACAGCATTTTAACCAAAGTTAACCGTCTATAAAATCTATTTTATTTTAAAAAGAATTTTGCTGGGTTCCAGGCCATTTTGGGCTTTCAGGAAATTTCCGATGCAGCTGCCAATGAATCTTTAAAGGTTTATATGAAATGATATATATGCATTTGGCCTTTACAATCATTTGTTTGTTTGTTATTTCAGGACAGGACTTGGTCGAGCTCGAGCGTGGCTGCATCTGGCTCTAATGCAGAAAAAAATAGCAGATTATATGAAGGTGCTTATAAATAGAAGAGACCTGCTTGGGTAAGAGTCATTCCAAAAATATAATCTTCAATTACATAGTGTAAAAAAAAAAAAAACACCCAATAGCGTTTTGTTTTATCAGTGCGAGTGGTTGAGCTCAAGCACATCAAATGCAATGCAGGACATGTCAGATACTAGAGAGCATTTGATTGGTCATTTGATTGGATGTGAATAAAACCGTTGACTCGGCAGAAGTGACAAACTACAAGCTTTACATGTTTATATCAGTCTTATATCCTCTAAACGCGAATGTTGTCTCTGTTTTGGTGCGCACTAGCGTATAGATGTCCTAAAAATGAACACTGCTGATGCTAACATCTAGAACACTTTTATTTCAATTTTGTGGGACCTAGCTCAAATATACACTTACAGGCCACTTTATTTGGTACACCTTACTAGTGCTGGGTTGGTCCCACTTTTGCCTTCAGAAATGCCTTAATCCCTCGTGGCATAGATTCGACAAGGGACTGGAAATATTCCTCAGAGATTTTGGTCCATGTTGGCATGATAGCATCACACAGTTGCTGCAGTAATCTACCGTTCCACCACATCCCAAAGGGGCTCTATTGGATTGATTTCTGGTGACTGTGGAGAACTACCGCTCAGTGGCTATTTTCTCTTTTTCGGACCATTCTCTGTATACCCTATAGATGGTTGTGCGTGAAAATCCCAGTAGATCAGCAGTTTCTGAAATACACCTGTCTGTCACCAACAACCATGCCACATTCAAAGTCACTTAAATCACCTTTCTTCCCCATTCTGATGCTTGGTTTGAACTGCAGCAGTTCATCTTGACCATGTCTACATGCCTAAATGCTTTGAGTTGGTGTAATGTGATTGGCTGAATAAAATGTGCGTTAACGAGCAGTTGGACTGGTGTACCTAATAAAGTGGCCGGTTAGTGTACATACGTGCAACATAAGAAAATAACTCATTTGTTCCTATTGAATCTCAACGTGTGTGTCACCAGTGTTGGGTAAGTTATTTTAAAAAAAAGTAATTAATTACTACTTACAAATTACATCGTTAAAGTTGTATATAAATTACTTTTCTAATTACTTGTCTAAAAGGTGAGTGATTTACTCAATAAGTAATTGAATTACTTGACTCAATTCTATGTATAAAACCCTATAAATCTAAATGCATAGTCAATATAAATTATACTCTTATTTATTTGCATGGTAAACAATAAAAAAGTAACGTTAAACATGTATCCATATCAAAATATGAAACGTTTAATAGAAGTGACCCCATATTTTATGTATAACCTATTGTAATTAATTCATTTCTGACTTGGTTCATTGTTTAAGCAATAGTCTGACAAATGTATCGACCTTAATTATAAGGAAATGTTAAATATTGAGTATTTAAGGCAAGTACTGTTGGAATATCAAGCCAATTCCATGTTTGTTCAATAGGAAAAGGTCTGGAGAGTGTTTTCTTCAATGCCAAAAAATGTTGTAATTTATCAGATACAAATGAATAATTTTATGACAGCGCTCTGGGTTACGTTACCCCAATGCAATATAAGAATTACATTCAAGAGGTTTGCAACTAACTTGCATTTCCGGACTCCAGCATATATACACAACTGATATTAACAGGTGGAGTTTTGGTTTAACGTCACTTATCAGTCATTCTGCAGTCCTTTGGCTCTTGTACCCCAGACATACTTCCTCTTTCTGCAACCCTTCTCTGCATACCAGAACTGAACTATTACGTGCATCTTTAATATATTTCACAACTTCTACAAGCATCAAGACAACTTGTGACATGTCTAGACTTTGTTTTAAACAAAGGCCCCCACACCTATTCTGCTATTTCCATCTTGTTGGCATGTTCCTTAAAGTATGCAGCACAGTAAAAAGAGAAAAAGAGGAAGTGTGTCTGGTCAATATGTGATCTCATACAATAGAAAAAGATTGGTTGTTAGTCTAAACATTTGTCTAATAAAAAATAAAGCCACAAAAGTAATCAAAATAAATTCCTTTTTTTCAACAGTACATTAAGTAACTGTAATTACATTTCATATAATCCCTCACTTTAAGCAATTTAATTTAGTTATTTTGTATCTAGTTACACCCAACACTGCATGCGAGACACAGAAATGAACCCGATTGAATTTGCATCATTTGTGACACAATTTAAAAACTGAACACTAAACACTAGTTCTTGTTTAATAAGCATGCATACATACACGCACACATTTAGGCGAGGCAGTGGCGCAGTAGGTAGTGCTGTCGCCTCAGCACGAAGGTCGCTGGGTCGCTGATTAGAACCTCGGATCAGTTGGCGTTTCTGTGTGGAGTTGGCATGTTCTCCCTGCCTTTGCGTGGGATTCCTCCGGGTGCTCCGGTTTCCCCCACAGTCCAAAGACATGCGGTACAGGTGAATTGGGTAGGCTAAATTGTCCGTAGTGTATGAGTGTGTGTGTGGATGTTTCCCAGAGATGGGTTGCGGCTGGAAGGGCATCTGCTGCGTAAAAATGTGCTGAATAAGTTGGCGGTTCATTCCGCTGTGGCGACCCCGGATTAATAAAAGTACTAAGTGGACATGAAAATGAATGAATAAATGAACATACACATTTATGCAAATTTTCATGAATCATACCAAACTTTATTCTAAATGCACAAAAAAATGAAACCACTGACACCACAAGGATGCGAAAAGCCGAAAGTTGCTGCAGACATTTATTTCAGTATGAAAAGGAAACAGAATAATGAGTAGCGGGGGCGGGGGGAGTTAGTTTTGTGCTCCGTTTTCGTCTTTCACTTATAGCAAACTAACGGTTGGAGGGGTGTGGTTAAGCAAATGTTTGCCCAAGCCTTCGAACTTGCATCATCTGATAAGGACCGCCCTTCCAGAGCAGAAGCAAATGGTTCTATTTTTCAGTGGATAAACTAGTATATTTACTGTAAGTGAGCCAGTGTTATATTTTCTGATCTTGTTGTAAAAATGCTGAATGAACTCTTCAAATCCCACATTTCCTGTATTTAAATTCCATTTTTTGTGTTTGTCTAAGGGAGTTTTATGAGCCCGGAGCTCTTGTAATGGAGGAAGAAGGAGCTGTGATTGTAGGGATGCTGGTGGGTCTCAACGTGATCGATGCAAATCTGTGTGTGAAAGGAGAGGATCTGGATTCTCAGGTGAAACGCAAAACCGTCCAATCCAGATGTGCTTTTTGACTGACTTGGTTAACACCGTGTTTTGTTTTTACTGCAGGTGTGTGTCATTGACTTCTCAATGTATCTGAAGGATCCACAAGCAACTGAGAGCAAACAAGAGTGAGTCTGAGATCATTTAGCAGACCATTATTCACTTGTTTTCTAAATGTTTAGTTCGAGATTATTGGAAAATAGTTGTTTTGTTAATAGTGATAATTCACTCAATTTAAATTCTGCCATCATTCACTCACCCTCGACTTGTTCCAAACATATTTGAGTTTTGTTCTTGTGTTGAACACAAAAGAAGATATTTGAAAGGATGTTTAGAACTGGTAGTCATTGACTTTTATAATATTTGTTTCATGTATAGAAGTCAATCGGTTTTAGACAAGAATACAAGAACTCATAAACATTCGGAATCACTTGAGGGTGTGCAAAAGATCAGCAAAATAAAAACCTTTGAGTGAACTATGCCTTTAATATCATGGTTTTATTTGGTGACTGAAGGTTTAACAATGACTTTTTTTTGTCTAACTTCTAATAGCGATTCAAAAATGACCGCCATACTTGACCAGAAGCACTACATCGAAGAGCTGAACCGGCATCTGAGCTGCACAGTGACTGATCTTCAGGCCAAGATGGACTCGCTGGAGAAAACCAACAGCAAACTCATCGAGGAGGTGAAAACATCCTCATTTTTCATTCCTTTATCTTCGGCTTAGTCCCTTATTTATCAGCACCCAGAGGAAACCCATGCAAACTTGGGGAGAACATGCAAACTCCACACAGATATGCCTACTGGCCCAGGTGGGACTCGAACCAGCGACCTTCTTGCTGTGAGGCAACTGTGCTAACCACTGAGCCATCATGCCGCCCTATCCTTATTTTAGGTTCTTATATTTTACATAATTTATAAATCATGCTGGTTGTTAAATGGATTAGAGACATGAATACATTTCCAAGCATCAAAACATTACTTTTACTACAGAACTTTGTCATATTTACAAGAATCCTCATCAGATGACTTATTAAAGGACTTGGTGAATCACGGTTCAGCCACAAAATACTAAGTTCTTGTCATTTTCATTTTCAGACAGTTAGGTTTTATCTATTTGCCAGCTAAAAAAATCATTCTAATCTTTTAAGACATTGTGCAGTTTACTATGATCACCTATTTTTAATAAGTACAGGTTAAAAGAAGTGTTTTTTTATTTTGTACATGACTATATTAGCTATAATGAATTAAAATTGGAACATTATTTCACTCATATTTTGAACCATATATATATATATATATATATATATATATATATGTGTGTGTGTGTGTGTGTGTGTGTGTGTGTGTGTGTGTGTGTGTGTGTGTGTGTGTGTGTGTGTATACACACACACACACATGACTATTAGCTATAATGAATTAAAATTGGAACAATATTTCACTCATATTTTGAACCATATATATATAATTTATAGTCACAAAAATTGCAACTTTAATTTCATTTGAATGCCACAATGTACAAAAAAATGGTTAAATATTTTGTTATTTGATGACTTTTCTACAGCTTACAGCAGCGACGGACAGAATCAACGCTCTGCGTGAGGAGCAAGAACAGCTTAAACAGGAAAATGCTAATATTCTCCAATCTAGTCAAAGAAAAGAGGAGGTGAGATTTTGATTTTTCAGCTGTATTTATTGCCTTTTATGTAACACTGGTGTTCAGTTTTATTGTCATTCTGCTACATGTGTGGACATTAACATGTGCTACATGTGGAACGAAATGTTCTGTCTCGTAGAATCACGGTGCTACATAAATAAACATAATCATAGATATGAACACAACACTGGACGCAAAAGCAATTTTAAACCTATACATGACCAACATACCAGAGCAGTAATCTCACTAGACATGAATACTTAACTATACAAACAACCTGAGACCTTCTATACAAGTACTTTTGCGTAAGACGGAACAATATTGTGCAAGATATTGTGTCAAAGAGGTATTTAGGTTAATGAAAACAAGTAGTGCAACAAGATTTGTGGCCCATTCACAGGTAAACATTATTTTTCTTATTATAAAGAGGGTTTTAAATAAAGTGCCTGGTGCATATAGAAAAAAGTGTTTTTACAGGTGGTTTGTCAAGCCCACTCACCTGTGTGAGGCATGCTCAGATGGCCCGTTTCCACTGAGTGGTACGGTACAGTTCGTTGATACACTTTTATGGCCTTTTCCACTATCAAAAGGTGTACCGTACCACTTTTTCGGCACACATTCGAAAGGGTACCAAACATGAGAAGGAGTGCCAAAAGGCGGAGCTAGACGCCCAGCTGAACGCTATTGTTTAACAGATATGCGTTATTCGCTTGCGCAACAAGCCAGAATGAAAACAAAAAACCTGCCATGTTTAAAATACACAGCCGAGAGATTACAGAATTATATATACATGTAATAACGAGGCTCAAAAAAACCTTGTCGTCGTCTTGATGAACAGCCACAAAGCCATGGAGTAGAGCAGAATCTACCCTGTGGCTCGTAGTTTTATATGTACGAGTCAGTCTGAAGTAGAGGTCTGCATTCCCGACCTGACCAGATTTCTGCGGCGCGGGAATAAATTTCCGAATAAAGAGCGGGAGCGGTCGGTAACGGGTTTAATTTGGGACTGGAGAGGGCCGTCTAGCAATATCGCTCCCGACTTCCGAGCGAGCACGCGTATGTATGCGTGTAAATGAAATATCGCTTTGCTGTGTTTAGCTTGTTTGTTGCTGTGTGTATGTGTGCGCGCGCACGCGAATGAGAGAAAGAGAGAGCTTTGTGCGTGTGTGTGTGTGTGTGTGTTAGTGCACACACGTGAATGAGAGAGAGAGCTTTGTGTGTGTGCTTGGTGCTTATGTGTATGTGTGTGTTTATACAGACAGCTTGTTATAGGCTGTCTGGACTGTATAGCTGGGTGGTTTTCGGTTTTGTTCTCCTCCCCGCTCTTTTAGCGGGATCGGGCGCGGCGGGTAGAAAACGGGGCGGGGCGGGCAGCGGGACAACAAATGCTGAATGTAAGCAGGAGCGGTCGGGTTCGGGCGAAAACCTGGCAGGTGCGAGCGGGAGCGGGATTCAAAATTTAGTCCCGCGCAGGTCTCTTGTCTGAAGTGCAAACGGTTTGGCTTTCTTTTTCCGTACCGTACTGTACCAGTCAGTGGAAACGAGCCAAGAGATGCACATTGTTTTTTTAGAGATATGGAGTGATTGTAAAGAGTGTCTGCTGCAAAACTGGTCAAAGTGTCATGCTGTGTTCACCTCAGACGTGGCATGCGCAAATGAATCATGCTATGCGCACATAAATAAACACGCGAACATTTTTAGTTTGCTCTCTTCATTCGCACATCAAATTCAATTCATTTGTGTGTCAAATTTTCTTCATTCACGTGTCAAATCGGCTTCGCAATATAGGCGGATTCACGTCATGGACAGGGCTTCTGTCTGCCTAGTGACTGTAGCTTTGTTGCTAAATGGTTAACATGGAGATTTCTAAGAGAGTAGCTGTGCTTTATGTGCTTTAGGAAGGCTGAAAAACAGTGTAGATTCATTCGGTGCCGTGTCTATGAGTTCATCAACTCTTCCAGAAACTATACCTGGATGATGGAAGCTTTAAGCGGTGCTTCAGACTAAGCAGAGTCAAGTTTGATGAACTTTTGTTCGGTGACGGCAAGAGGATTTTTTCTTTAGGACACCAACAACAGGCGCTACATCATAATCACGCTCCTACAAGAGCAAGCTGCTCATTGGTTAACCCGTCGAAAATGTCTGCTAAAGTTCAGATTTTCCAACTCAAACGCACAAACACTTAATTGGCGCAAATCATGTCATTCGCACCACCTCTTTCGCATGAATTGTACTGCAGGATGTCTAGTCACATCTTTGCATTGACTTAACATGTAAATAACTCTCGCTTGATGCTTTATTCGCATCTGGTGTGAACACACCAACAGAGAGCTGAAAGAATGTCTTTCTTTATAGGTGGTTTGTCAAGCTCACTCACCTGTGTGAGGCAGGCTCAGAAATGTTTTTATCTATATCAAGTGATCGTAATGCCTAGTTCAGACTGCATGATTTTAGCCCGATTTTGGCTCGCCGACAGGTTTTGAGAAATCGCCGACAAATGCCTGAAATCACAGGCAAATCGCTGCTCGTGCACGTGAGTGACAATCACACAGTATGAACTATCAAAGACGCGATCTGAGAGAATCGCCGATGAGTCGCCGATGCCTGCGAGATATTTGGCGTGCTAAATATCTGGAGCTGTCGGCGATTCAAATCATGCCGTGTGAATTGAGTGTTGAATGAAAATAACATCAGCGATCGCCTACAGCCAATGAGAGAGCGGCATTCACTTGTGTGTGCGCGCGTGTGTATACCTGCTGCAGGCCAGCGGGAGGCTGGGGGAGAAGTTAAAAGCGCTCTTTTTTGGTTTATTTGGACCCACGAAATGGAGGAAAAACTAGTGGAGGTTTGACAGGACTCAGGAGTAACCGTGTCTGTTTGACGTTTTATACAGAAAGAAATTAGTTTATTATCAACGTTGAGGAGAAATGGCTAATTCCCTTTAAACCCAGGTGAGCAAACATGTACATTTTCTACCCCATTAAAGGCTTCTTTCTCATTATGTAGTTAATAACGAGATATAATACATGTTTTTGTCTTTGAGACTTAGTTTGGACGAAGTTGTCGGCGATTCTTCCTATAGTAAAGTCATGCAATGTGAAAGCCCCTGTCGCCGATCAATCTTGCAGTGTAAACAAAGCAGCGACGAAACGCTAGCCCAGATAGTCAAGCAGTGTGAAAACATCTATGACACGACTACTTTGAAAATCATGCAGTCTGAACTCGGCATAAGAAAGTGTCTGGTGCATATGCAAATATAAGTTTATTGCTACATTATCATCTGGCCATGACTATGAAAAAAGCCAAAAATACTTATTTAGATTTTTTTTTATTAGGTGACTCTGCAGGACAGCCAGGTGGAGCTGGAAACATATCGGCAGACTCGTCAGGGTTTGGATGAAATGTACAGTGTGGTTTGGAAACAGTACAAGGAGGAGAAACGAATCAGGCAGGTAAGAATGCAAAGAAATCCAGCTCTGAATGTACAGAAATAGTCTTTATTTTCAGTTAATATAATATTTCACAGTATATTAGAGGGCTTAAGATGACTTAAAGCAGGGGTGCTCAAACATTTTTTTTTAAAAGGGCCATAAACTACACTTGATTGAGAGTAGTGGGCCGGAGGTAAATATACTAAACTGTAAAGTTGTCAGATGTTATTTTCTTATTTCTTATTATTTATTATATGATTATTTTTACAATTTAATTAATACTATAATTTATTACATGTAAAATATTTAATTGTATTAACAATTATACATTTTTGTTTATTTTATAAAGAACATCTTGCAATAAAAATCATGAACGATCCAATCTTCTTTGATTCGCTTGCTGATGACTTCTTCAATGTCCGCTATCCATTAAATGACTATTTATTTGTTTATTTTTTTAAATCTTATTCATTCGCAACATTTAATGCAAATGTTTAATTTCAGTTTGCTTTTTTGTTGCTCAACAGTAACAAAAGTTATGTTAGCTTAAAAATGACAATCTCTGTTGAAGGCATTCCCCCCCAAATTCCCGATAATTCTCCCTCTCTTCTCAAATGGGATGGAGGGCCAAATCAAAGGTTACCGTGGGCCAAAGTTTGGGCATCTCTGACTTAAAGGGAGAGTTCACCCCAAAATTACAATGTAATCATTTACTCATCTTTCACTTGTTTTAAACCCATTTGTGTTTCATTCTTCTGTTGAACACAAAGAAATATATACTGAAGAATACTGGGAGGACAAAAGCACCATCAACTGCTTTTTTCCAGCAGAACCTCTTGTTTTGTGTTCAGCAGAAGAAAGGAATTGATAAGTTTACGACCACTCGAGTGTGGGAAAATACTGAGGTAATATAATTATATATATAATTAAGTGAATTATGATTAAAATGAGACAAAACAACTTTTAAAATAAACTTCTAATAAAAACTGATATGAAATGTCGTTGTTTTTATTTCATTATTATTATTTTTAATTATAATTATTATTTTCTAAATTTCGTTATAAAATTGAAAAGTTTAAAGTCTGGTTAAATAAAGGTTTTTCAGAATGTGTTTAAGGGCTAATGTGCATGCGTCTTCAACACTCCATTTATGGTCAGTCAGTATAACAGGAAACTCCTTTATAACTCGCAATTCTGACTTACTAACTTTGATTTCAGACTTTATACCTCGGAATTGCAACTTTATAACTCAGAATTCTGATTTAACTCAAAATTGCTAACTTTAACTCTTAATTTGCAACTTTATAACTTAGAACTCAGATTTTTTAACTCTGAATTGCGACTTTATAACTCAGAATTCTGACTTAATAACTCAAAATTGCAACTTTAACTCACAATTTGCGACTTTATAGCTTAGAATTCAGATTTTATAACTCGGAATTGCGATTTTATAATTCAGAATTCTGACTTAATAACTCAAAATTGCGACATTAACTCAGAATTTGTAACTTTATAACTCAGAATTGCGACTTTATAACTCAAATTTTTTTAATAACTCAAAATTGCAACTTTAACTCAGAATTTGCTACTTTATAACTCAGAAATCTGATTTAATAACTCAACTCCAAATTTGCGACTTTACAACTTGGAATTCTGATTTAATAACTCAAAATAGCGACTAACTCAGAATTTGCAACTTTATAACTCAGAATTGTGACTTTTATAATTCAGAATTTTTTTTAATAACTCAATTTCGACTAACTCAGAATTTGTGACTTTTTAACTCAGAATTCTGATTTAATAACTTAAAATCGCGACTTAACTCAAAATTTGCAACTTTATAACTTGGAATTCTGACTTTGGAGCTCGGAATTCTGATTTAATAACTCAAAATTGCAACTAACTCAGAATTTGCGACTTTATTACTCACAATTGCGACTTTATAACTCAGAATTGCGACTTTATAACTCAGAATTGCAACTTTATAACTCAAAATTGCGACTAACTCAGAATTTGCAACTTTATTACTCAGAAATCTGATTTAATGACTTAAAATTGCGACTTAACTCAAAATTGTGACTAAAACTCAGAATTGTGACTTTATATATATATTTTTTTACATTGTATTTATTTGTTTTATTCAGTGGTGGGAACGGGCTTCCATGCCTTCCCCTTAGGTAGATAGAATTGGGATTGGGCCTAAGCCTCATCTTCCAGTTTTTGTGAGTTTATATTGAAATTCCAACAATAAATGCTGTTTAGCTGCTCTTTGAATTTGTGTAACCGGGCAATGTACAGACGCCTTATAAACCTTTTTATTATCGAGTAATTCCATCAATACTGTAGTTTTGCTTTGTTTTTAATAGCCTTCAAAATTCAGCAATGTGAAGTACCAGAACTCCTTATATAGTTTACAGCCCTCATAAAATTATAACGAGCCAATCACTAACGCTGAATGCACTTATTAACCAATCAGGAGCTACAGAAGGAGCTGGAGTTGCAGATCGGCCTGAAGCAGGAAATGGAAGTAGCCATGAAACTCCTGGAAAAGGACACGCATGAGAAGCAGGACACGCTGGTTGCGCTGCGACAACAACTGGACCAAGTCAAGAATCTCAACCTGCAGATGTTCAACAAAGCACAGGTGGTGCATTTTGTTGTCGTACAACACTGTATTTTTCGGCATTTGATCGTTTTCAGTCACACGACCTGAAATTAATGGGCCGTAATGGCAGATACATTGAGATCTCTATAGAAACACAGCACAAACCAGTCTCATTTCTATCTATTTCAACCTATGAATATTTGGTTTAAATAATAACAAAACAAAACTGAGATCAGATCACAGACTGTAAATTGTGGGCACTTGTGATCCATATACTGCACCCGCAACTGTTTTTCAGTCATTCAAAATTGTCAAGTCGCTGTCAGAGCTCCAATTCGGCAACATTTACCTTTATCTTGTGGATATTCCTCAGTGATTTAATCATTGGTGACAGTGTAAAAGCACGTAAGTGTCTGCTTTTGCTTAATCTTTGCTAGTAGAGAAAATATGTTCACTTTTTCCATTTATATTTTGTCTTTGCATGTCAATTTATACTTTAGTTGTGAAATTTAACCAACAAATTAGCGTAAAAATTGTACAAAAAAAGCATATGAATGTACTGACAGCGGCTGCACAGTATACTGCAAAATGATGGTTATCACAATAACATTATGTGCAATATGCATATTGCAGACAATTGAGGTTAATTCCATTTATTTTATGCATTTTTGTGCGAAAGTCAAGATGAGAGAGGAAAATGACAACAGCCAATCAGAATATCTGCTCAGGTTTACAACTCATTTATAGTGTTTTGAATTAATGTTAGCATCTTAGCTCGTGTTTTTAGTCTGAATTAGAATGAATTAGATCCAAAAAATATCTTCAACCAGTTTATTTTAATAATATTAAATAAATGATTTAAAACATGCTAATGAAAATAGCATTTTTCAAGGGAAAATTTATATTAAAAAAAATATCATTATTGCATGTTTTTTTTTCCAGTATTGTGCAGCCCTGATAGGCATTGTAGATGGTTATGGGTCAATGATGCTACCATTCCACACAAATCCATACATTTCCCCTTTCTAGCTGTTCTTTCTATAAAGAAATTTCTGTAAAAGCAAAACCCAATCTCTACATATTATGTCTTATCGTAAAACATTTATCCAGCTTTTTGGCTAAAAAGTGAGACCTCACTCGGCCCGTGACTTGACGGTCAGTGGGAGATCTTAATGTTTTACCCACTAGAAGGCATTTTATTCCCTTAATGGGGCAACATCACGTGAAAACTATCAATAGGATTAGTTGAGGCTAATTGAATTCAATATGTTGTCATTTGATGCATAAGGCGTCTGACCGAGTGGCCCAGAAAAAGGAGGAGGACATGGTACATCTGGAAAAGAAGATGATTCAGATGGAGGCAGCCATGAAGGAACTGGAACAGAGGTGATGGAATACTGAAAAACTAGCATTTTGGTGTCATTTACTTACCCTCACATTGTTTTATTGAAAAATGATAATTAACCCATAATTGGAGCATGGAGGGTCAGGGCTATCCTGATGGATGTTTTCTATTTTTATATACATTTGAAGTCATTAGCCCCCCCTTTAATTTTTTTTTTTTTTTACTTTTTTTTTTTATATTTCCCTAATGATATTTAACACAGCAAGGTAATTTTCACAGTATGTCTGATAATATTTTGTCTTCTTGAGAAAGTCTTATTTGTTTTATCTCGGCTAGAATAAAAGCAGATTTTTATTTTTTTAAATCCATTTTAAGGTCAAAATTATTACCCCCTTTAAGCTTTATATTTTTTCGATAGTCTACAGCAGGGGTCACCAACATGGTGCCCGCGAGGATCACATGTGTTGCCCGCAGGCCTGTTCTAAAAACAGCTCACCATAGCGCCACTTACCAGTAAGCTTCATCTAATATAGAAGTAATCATTTAAAAATGTAAATATTTGCAGAGATATATCAAAATAAAGTGTTGCACATTGATACATTAAATACAGGGTATTTCCCACCCTGTTAAATCATTGTTGATAACTTTTGTGAGAATCATTAACATGATCAGTGTCTTCACATGGATTAATATCATTAATTATTACCAAAAACATACAGTATAATTAAAAGTAAATTGAGCAAATTTGTTATTTGAGAAGTGTTTATCAAACTGGTAGCCCTCCACATTAATCGGTACCCAAGAAGTAGCTCTCAGTTTCATAAAGGTTGGTGACCCCTGGTCTACAGAACAAACCATCATTATACAATAACTTCCCTAATTACCCTAACCTGATTAGTTAACCCAATTAACCTAGTTAAGCCTTTAAATGTCACTTTAAGCTGTATAGAAGTGTCTTGAAAAATATCTAATAAAGTATTAATTACTGTCATCATAGCAAAGATAAAACAAATCAGTTATTAGAAATGAGTTATTCAAATTATGTTTAGAAATGGGTTGGAAAAATCTCTGTCAAACAGAAATTGGGGGAAAAAATAAACAGGGGTGCTAATAATTCTGACTTCAACTGTATATGTTTTCCTTCATTTCAGAGACATGGAACTGCTAAGAAATCCATCTTAAAACACAAAAATACTTGAGTTTGGACTTGATTTGGTTGTTTTTGTCGGTGTGGGGGAAAAAAACAAAGTTTAGGTTTCAAACCATAGTCTGTAAAACTTTAGGACAAATCATAGACTGTAAAAATATGGACGTGGGATCCATGACGTCACCCATAGGTTTCTGAAGGGTGCAAATGAAGCTACAAGTAGGCATGGCCAACCATCGCCATATTGTTCGCACGTCATCACACCGACCGGGGGATACCAAACAAGGGCAAAGAGGCAGAGCTACAGACGCCTGCTAGCGATTTTCATGGATGAGTTTTTCTTTGGGAGAATGCTTAATACTTTATCACCTGCGACTCGTTTGTGTTCTGACCACTTGTGCTTGGTTGTATACTATATCAATAAAGTGTGTTTAGTCCTTTAAAAACACTGCTGTAACACATTGAGCCACTAAGCATTGTTCTTGTTGTTTTTCTACAGGAGGAAAATGAGAATCACTTGCAAACACTTCAAATATAGTCTGTGTTAGTAAATGCAAGGCTATTGATTAAATCCAGCATAACACTGTATGACAAAATTTCAGAATTTCACTCATCTGGGAAAAGGTCGCTTGAGTGGTTTGTGAGCACAATTAAGTGCACAGAGCATGCCATATCATCTGATAACTGTTAGAAATGATTCCTAAAGGCAATTGACTGTAAAGCCACATAAAACAAAATACAATATATGTGCTGAGCTCAGCAGCTAATCGGCTGAGGTGACATGACGGCGACCGGCGAGACCTAGCTGTCACTTAAGTGACCACGCCCTTAATTATGCAGACTTAGTATAAATGCAACTAAAGTGAACCGTCTTTAAGCAATAAATAAATAACCCCTAAAGCAATACTTCTCATTTACTCCAAACCTTTTATCATCCTTTCATTTCTTTGCTTCATGTTTTTGAGAAAACAGGAGAATTTCTGAAACGAGTCTTTCAGGTTTTAAAGCACATATTGACAGAGCTTTTGAATGTGTGTGTGTGTGAACTCTCATTTAGTCTCAGATATTGACAGAGCTTTTGAATGTGTGTGTGGACTCTCATTTAGTCTCAGATATGATTTGCATGCACAGTTGAGCAGAATTATTTCCCCCCGGTACATTTTGCCCCCATTTTCTATTTAATGGAAAGATTTTTTTCCTTGTATAATGATGGTTTATTCTGTAGACAAATATTGCTAAAGGGGGCTAATAATATTGACCTTTAAAGGGCACATACTTTACCCCTTTTTAATGATTTAATAATAATATTATGGTTCTTCTGAGTGTGCCAGTTTAGGTTCAGTTCAACACACAGTTCAGATGATTTTATTATAGTGTCTTCAAAAGTGTCATGTTGGGGGTGTTTACACAGTTTGCTGTTTTAGTGGCGTGTTGCTTCACAGTTTCGGCTTCCCGCCCAACTTAACAAGGGGGCGGAGCCAAGAGCTCCCACGATCTGTGTGTGCAACAGACAGGCTGACAGACTGAGAGAGAAGCTAAGCTGAGTTAGGATGAGCATTCAGCCGTACATGTACAAGTCGGACACAGACCAAGCAGGGAGTACAAAATCATTTGTGTCTTTTTATAGTCTCGGTGTACAAGTGCCGAGCTTGAGACTAATAACCACACACACTGAATTACCTTTGACTGAAGCACCGAATGCGTGGCGACACGGCACACCTGACACTCAGTGAAGCAGAAACATGAAGTGCCCCGAATGGTCACGCCACGCATTCTAGAACTCCAAACACAAGCCTCCACCAGGGCAAACACATTGGCGCCGCGTCACTGACCCGAAGCTCCACTGCGTGCACCCCGACAGAAAGCCGAGCCGCTGACCCGAAGCTCCGCCGCGTGCACCCCGACAGAAACCCACACCGCGCCGAGCCGCTGACCCAAAGCTCCGCCGCATGCACCCCAACAGAAACCCATGCCCATATCTCCGAAATACACAGCGCCACGCCCCGCAAAAGGTACAAGTAATAAATCCGATTACAGCGATAATGTGGAGAATATTGATCTTGTGTTGAGCCCAATGAGCTTTTCATCAAAAAAATAGAGCAAGGGTGTTCCTTTAGTGGTATCGCTTTGACTCACACGCTGAAAATGGCGGACGTGCAACAAGAAACTGAGGATATGATCGTGACGCAAAGCCGTCGATCAATATTGGTGGGCGGGGGGACCGCTCTCCTACGTTAAGTTGCGGTCTGTCTGAAAACCGCTCCTATTGGTCCACCGTTTTTTTTTTTTAAAAAAGGACTGTGTGTGTTTATATCACCCCGATATGACGGTCTATACACTATACTTGCACACATGTCTGTCCAAACAGCTTGAAAAGTAGATTTTTCACCATAGGTGCCCTTTAAAATGTTTTTTTTTAATTTTATTTATTTATTTTTATAAAAACTGCTTTTATTGTAGACTAATTTAAACAATTAAGACTTTCTCCAAAAGAAAAAATATTATCCGACATGCTGTGAAAAACACCTTGCTCTGTTAAACATCATTTGGGAAATATTTAAAAGTGGAACAAAAATTCAGGAGAGCTAATAATTCTTCAACTGTACATTTCTGAAGCTCATAAACACGATATCTTCTTCTCAGGCTTCAGAACTCAGAAGACGTGCAGAAGAACACAGATGAGCAGCAGAACGAGATCCGAACGGAGATGAAGGGGAAAGTGAACGCTCTGCAGAAGCGACTCTCTGACCTCGACACACTCCGGTAATGGCGGTCAAGGCTTCTGTAAAACCTGCTAACATGATTCCAACCCCTCAAGATCTCGATTTTATTAGTGTTGTCTGTTTCCACAGGGCAGGTCTGGAGACGGAGCTGAGCGCGGAGAAAGAACAGCGTCAGATCCTGCAGAAGGAGCTGCAGAGAGAACAGGACAACAGTGCGGAGCTGCGCACACAACTGCAGCAACTGCAGGGCCTGCAGACGGTCAGATATGCTGCCATAAACAGACACGCACTCAATACATTACCCTCGGTTATATCAAATCAAATCAAAGCAAGAGTGACTTGAACACAATAGTGTTCTTCCAAAGAGGAAACGTAATAAACCGGCCACTTTATTAGGTACACCTGACTAGTACCGTGCCATATGATTGGCTGGCTAAAAATGTACGTTAATGAGCAGTTGGACAGGTGTACCTAATAAAGTGGCCGCTCAGTGTGTATATATTATTCACACACAAAATACATGTATACGTGCGGAAAGAGTAATGGTTGAGCTGACAGGATTTGTGTTCCCGCAGGAGCTGCTCGATCTTCGTCAAGAGAAGCAGCAGCTCCAGCAGTTGTGTGAAGAGCAGGAACAGGCTCTACAGGAGATGGGCCTTCATCTCAGCCAGTAAGACTCTCTCTTTCTAGATCAGCCTCTGTTTATACGTCACATACTGACCTAACACTCCAACCCTGCTCTCAGATCCAAACTCAAGATGGAGGACTTCAAAGAGGTCAATAAAGCCCTGAAGGTAAAAGACATTCACCTTTTCTGTTCGTTTCTACCACAAAGCGAAGCTCCATTCAGCTAATACTGTTAGCATCTTGCTACTGTTTGTTTTATTTAACTCGGCTGTGATGCCATAAAAATCATTATAGATATGTAACAGCACATATCTGAAGAGCTAAATGAGCAGACATGCAAATCAGCTGATAGTTAAATTAATACTTAATATTCAATCAATTACATTTTGCTTGTTATGATACGCAACAACCTTCCACATGTGTTGTGGGCTGCAGGCTTTACACTTTCATGTTTCAGGAGTATTTAGCAATTTATTAAGTTTCACATTTAGAGCAGATTTTCTTTCTCATAGTAGCCTAGGCCTATTCAAGTTTATTAATCGGTGTAAAGAATAACTTTAATGTTTAAATTAATAGGCTGTTTAAATTAATTTTGCATCAAAAAAGCATTTGGATATCGGTAAAGGCGTCTGCAACTTTTGCGAAGCATCAAATCACCATCATATCTGTCAAAACATGTGCATAACTGCATAATTATTATTCTTTTAAAAAGTTGAATATTGTGAATGTCTATTTTCATACACAAATTGTACTAAAGCTGGTACCATTAATAGTACATGTTTGTGTCTAAAAAGTCCGTATAAATGAATGTTCTCTTTGAAGCCCATAGGGAGAACCACCCCATGACAGTCTTTGTACTTTCATTACGGAGTGCAGAATGCATAGGGTTTATCTATATATTTTTTAAACTTAAAAATATTAAATTTATATATATTTTTTATTTTATTTATTTATTTATTTTTTTTATTATTCATTCATTTATTTTCTTGCTGGCTTAGTCCCTTTATTAATCTGGGGTCGCCACAGTGGAATTAACCGCCAATTTATCCAGCACATTTTTACGCAGCAGATGCCCTTCCAGCCACAACCCATATCTGGGAAACAACCACACACACACTCATTCACACTCATACACTACGGACAATTTAGCCTACCCAATTGCACCCGAAGGAAACCCACACAAACACAGGGAGAACATGCAAACTGCACACAGAAACCAGCGAAGTTCTTGCTATGAGGCGACAGCACTACCCACGGTGCCACTGCATTGCCTATTTATTTCATTAAATAAATATATTTATATATAAATATATATATATATATATATATATATATATATATATATATATATATATGTGTATGTATGTATGTATGTATGTATGTATGTATGTATGTATGTGTATAATTTTAATACAAAAAAAATTAATAAATAAATGTTTGACTATTTTTCCAAGTGTATATTACTACTACTATAAGAAAAGATCAAAATTCAGTACTTTCAGTAATACCTTTGCTTAAAATGACCCGATCTAACGTGAAATAAACCTGCTCCCAAGCAGGTTTGAGCTACCAGAACTCAACAACTCTCGGATGAGTTGTAAAGAATAAAACAATCCTGGATCGTGTAAAATCATTCATTCATTCATTTTCTTGTCGGCATAGTCACTTTAATAATCCGGGGTCGCCACAGCGGAATGAATCACCAACTTATCCAGCAAGTTTTTTAAGCAGCGGATGCCGTTCCAGCTGCAACCCATCTCTGGGAACCGTGTAAAATCATCAATAACCAAATCCAGCAAACTGAGTAATCCACATACGAAAAACTCAATCCTGAACGGCACTGGATAATTACACGCAGGTGTGTTTGATATGGGTTGTAACTGAAATCTGCAGGAAGGTAGATCTCCAGGAGCAGGGTGGGTCACCCTTGATTTAAAGTATTCTGGCTGAATTGAAGTATTAATTCATATGATTTCTTTGCCGAATTAAATAAATTTGACTCAAGTTTTTGAACGGTTTAGTGTTATAATGCTACAATAACTTAACTGGTAATAAATAAATGTTTCCAAACCTTGTCTTTAGAAAATGGGGTGGAACAGTGGATAGGTGGTTAGCATTGTCGCCTCAGAGTCACTGGTTTGAGTCCCAGCTGGGCCAGTTGGCATTTCTGTGTGGACATTGCATGTTCTCCGTGTGTTGGCATAGGTTTTCCCCGCAGTCCAAAGACATGCAGGTATAGGTGAACTGGATTATCTAAATTGGCTGTAGTGTGTGTGTGTGTGTGTATGGGTGTTTCCCAGTACTGGGTTGTTGCTGAAAGAGCATCTGCTTCGTAAAACATGCTGGAATATTTGGCGGTTCATTCTGCTGTGGCAACCTCTAATAAGTCTGAGAGTAAACTGAAGGAAAATGAATGAGTGAATAATGGAAAATTGTTGTCTTTTCTGTTCTCCAGGGTCATGCTTGGCTAAAGGACGACGAAGCTACACAGTGCAAACAGTGCCAAAAAGAGTTCTCGATCTCTCGGAGGAAAGTGAGTGATGCTCCACGCTCAGTTATTGACACACAGCATCTCCAACATTTGACAGCAGCTCACCTCTTTGTGTTTGTGTTTAAAGCATCATTGCAGGAACTGCGGAGACATTTACTGCGGCAACTGCTCCAGTAATGAGCTCGCTCTGCCCTCGTACCCCAAACCAGTGCGTGTGTGTGACGTCTGCCATTCCCTTCTACTCCAGCGCAGCTCCACCGGCTCCTGACAGCACTCTGAATGAGCACGTGTGTGTTTGTGTGTGTGTGAGAGAAACTACAGGCCGACTGCATTAATTAACGCTCCATCTTTGTGTTTTTAACACGTATGCATTAAAGCACAGGTGTCAAAGCCAGTTCCTGGAGGGCGGCAGCTCTACACTGTTTAGTTCCAACCGTGTTTCAAACAAGCCTGAATCAATTAGTTTGCTCAGGTGTGTTTGATTAGGGTTTAAACTAAACTGTAGAGCTGTGGCCCTCCAGGAACTGGCTTTGACACCTGTGTATTATAAGAACATTCCACTGTTGTTGTTGTTGTTTTTATTTGGAAATATTCTCATTCCAGAGTTAAACAGTGGGGTTTTACCATTTTTAATCCATTCAGCCAATTACCGGAGGACTTTTAGCTTAGCTTAGCATAAACCATTAAATTTGATTAGACCGTTAGCATCTCTCTCAAATGATTAAAGAGTTTTGATAATTTTCCTATTCAAAGCTTGACTCCTCTGTAGTTACATTATGTACTAAGTCCAACAGCAAGTGAGATGTTTTCTAGGTTGATAGAGATAGGAACTATACTGTCATTCCGGCATAATAATCAAGGAACTTTTCTGCCGTACCACACTATCACACAACTATATTACGCAGTACTGTTGTGTAAATACTTAGCTGGAACTGTTTTAGGGGCTACATAATATTGTTGTGCCTGCTATCATTGCACGGCAATGAAGTTCCTTGATTATTACGCCACAATAAGTGTAGTTCCTATCCATATTGACCTAGAAAATCTTTCATTTTCCATCGATCTTAGTGCACAATATAACTAGAGAAGAGTCACGATTTATATAGGAAAATTATCAAAACTCTTTGAATTTTTTTTTTTTTTTTGAGAGATGCTAATGGTCTTTTCTCATTCAATAACTTATGCTAAGCTAAGCTAAAAGTGCTCTTGCCATACCAGAGATTTGCTATATAGATTTAAATAGTCAAACTCAACAGTGAAACTTTTGAAGAGTAGTGAAGTGAGTCCATTTCCCTGCCAAAAAAGTGGAACTAACTTTGACACCTGTGTATTATAGGAACATTCCACTATTGTTGTTTTTTTTTAGGCTAATTTCACAACTCCTCTTGTGTTGTTAAACAGTCGAGTTTTACAATTTTTGAATCCATTCAGCCAAATATCCAGGTCTGGCAGAAGCATTTTTAGCTTAGCGTAGCATACATCATGATCATTGTAAAAAAAGTGGGGTTTTACAATTTTTAATCCATTCAGCCAATTACCGGAGGACTTTTAGCTTAGCATAAACCATTGAATTTGATTAGACCGTTAGCGTCGCTCTTAAATGACTAAGGAGTTTTGATAATTTCCTATTTAAACCTTGACTCTTCTGTGGTTACATCGTGTACTAAAATCAACAGAAAATGCATAGTTGACCTTTTCTTGGTTGATATGGATAGGAACTATACTGTCATTCCGGCATAATAATAATCAAGGACCTTTGCTGCCGTACCACACTATCACACAACTATATTACGCAGCACTGTTGTCTAAATACTTAGCAGAAACCATTTTAGGGGCTACGTTATATTGTTACGCCTGCTGTCATGGTATGGCAAATACACGGCAAGTTCTTTGATTATTACGCCACAATGAGTATAGTTCCTATCCATATCGATCTCGAAAATAGCAACTTTTATTTTCAATTGATATTAATACACAATATAACTACAGAAGAGTTACGATTTAAACATTATCAAAAAAAAATGTTTGGTTTTGTTTGAGATGCTAATGGTCTAATCTCATTCAATGACTCGTGCTAAGCTAAGCTAAAAGTGCTCTTGCCATACCAGAGATTGGCTTATTAGATTCAAAAAGAGTCCAATTCAATAATTTAACTCTTGAAGAATTGTAAAGCGTGCCCATTTCCCTCCAAAAAAAGTGGAATGTTCCTTTAGTTTATTTGTGTTAATACACCGGCTTTCTTTTGGCTAAGAGCTTTGTCTATTGCAAAATCATATCAACAGGAGGACGCTTGAAGGAATCTGAAATTAACATCAGTGTGAATGTATTTATAACTAGTCTCCAACTAACACGCATAGGACTTCCAGGTGTTCGCCAAGCATAAATGCTTTTTTTTTTGATACCCTTCAAGCTTTTAGGTCTGGAGTTGCATCTCCATTTGTAATGTTTTTGTAAATTGATTAGTCTTTATTTAAGACCTGGCGTAACTGAATTATAATCAAGCGCACTCATTTGAAGTGTCTGTGCTGTTAACATGGACACTGTGCATGTCTATCAGAAATATCACTAGCAGAACTCACCGCTCAAAACAACCGGGACGGATTCTTAATGAAGTTAGTCACCATGTTTATTCCTCACACTAACAATTAAATCAATCACAAAGTCTATAAAGGACTTTAACAGTTTGCAAGACTAAAGAGCAAATGGATTGTATTTTCGTCAGCATTTGTTTTGTTTTTGCTTATATCAGTCTAAAAAGAAAAATATATATATATTTTTTTTTTTTTACAAAACTTTTTAAGGCTCTCCGAGTATAAAAAGTGTATATTTTAGACTGTATGACAGATCCTCGTGTTGTACACTCCTGTTCATAAAGCTGTAATGAAGTTTCTGGAGATTTTATAGAATTGTGTACGGTTTAATAAACACTGCCGCAAACGTATTAATCACTCTGTGAAGAGATGAGGGAATCAGACATTTGTAAACTTGGTTGACCACACTGAAATCACAGTAGATTGGGGAAAGAAAACAGAAAGCAACATGCAGCTTAACAAAACCCTTCCCATCATGCTTTGAAATAATACAAAAGTCTTTTCATTCCCTCCTGAACATAAACACTCAAACTATTTTATAGATATGATGTGCTACAATCACCTCCATGTGCGAAGACGTCAACTTGTGAAGGCTTTGATAACATTGGCCGGTGAGGAAACTAAAATCAATATGCTGTAAAAACATTCACAGGCACGTCTCGTAGGGGTGTCACGTTTAAGAATATGACAAACTTCAAAATAACATGTCAACAAGGAACAGAAAACTCTTGTGCTCCGAACACAACTTGAACGGGAGCGGGGAACAAAGTACAAACCAATGAAAGAGGACACAATGTTGAAATAGAGCCGCTACATCCCCCAGCCACCATTCATTCCCATGGATCCGCGACTTCCTCCGCCGTAGTAACTGCCGCCTAATCCGCCCGAATTACCTGACAGGAGGAACAAATACACACTTTAGGACCAGGGAGTTCTCGGAGCGGGAACAAATCACTTCTGTTGTCATTCCAACTGAGTGTTATTTACGCTAGGGAGGGATTTTTTTGTTGAGTGATAGAGTTTTGTTAGTTACACCTTGCGTCCACACACACTACTCTATCATCTTCAACCCAAGAAGAGCGTTTTAAAAATGATTAGGACGCCAGAAGTGTCTGAAGTCCCATAATAAAGTAGGAACTACATTTGAATTTATATCAGGACTGTTAGAAAAGTATGCTCTATATCAGTGTTTCTCAACCATGTTCCAAGGGGACCGCCAGCTCAGCATATTTTCCATGTCTCCTTAGCCAAACACACCTAATTCAGATCATCAGCTGTTTAGTTGAGACTGAAAGACCTGTAATGGTTGTGACAGACAAGGGAGACATCCAAAACATGCAGTGGTGGTGGTCCTCCAAGAACGTGGTTGAAAAAACCCACAATGAAGAGATATGAAGAGATAACTACTTACTAGTAGCACGTCTATGGTGCTGATTTGGATTAGTCAATTAACTGACGATGGTGGGAAGAAAACCGGGGGACCCAGGGGAAACCCATGCGAGCACAGGGAGAACATGTAAACTGCGCACAGAAATGTCAACTGGGTAGGTAAGGACAAGAACCAGTGATGTTCTTGCTGTGAGGCAACAGTGCCACCCATCCAGGAAAACTAGGAGGAGTAGGGGTGGAAGGGGGGGATTCTTTAAAGTGAAGATGGCTGTAGTATGGTATTTATGAAGACTTAGGAATCGTCTGATTGGAGAATCGTGAATTGGCAAATGCAGGCCTAGCTGTGTTCAATCCTAAGCATGTGATCCTCTCAAAATTAGTTTAAAAATAAATTTCACAAAGTGACATTTAAATGTTTAACTGGGTTAATTAGGTAAAGTCTAGATCGGATATGCGGCCGGCCGGAAGTGCGATATGCACATTAATAAAGCAGCATTTTTTTTATGACACTGTATAACAATAATTAATATTTTTACAGTACTGTGAGGGTTGGGGTGGGGGTAAACGTTAATAAAATACAACAAATGAGAAATTGAATAAATAATAGAAATAATTTGCGTTAACTTCCGGCCTCAAATGTATCCGTTCTAGATACATCAACAACCGATTAATTAGGGTAATTAGGCAAATTATTGTATAACGATGGTTTGTTCAGCAAAAAAAAAAGAAAAAATAATCGAAAAATATTGCTCAAGGGGGATAATAATATTGATCTTAAAATGGTTTTTGAAAAATTCACAACTCTAGCCGAAATTAAAGAAACAAGACTTTCTGCAGAAGAAAACATTATAGGAAATACTGTGAAAATTTCCTTGCTCTGTTAAATATCGTTTGGGAAATATTTGAAAAACAAACCAAAAAAAATTAATAGGAGGGCGAATAATTTTGACTTCAACTGTATGTGTACATGCGCTGCTTGCTTTTTGTGAGCGTGTGTAAAACGCATGAGCACTTTGAATAGTTTTTGCACTACTTCTTTGGTCCGCACTGAACCAGGCCACTGTTTTGACAGTCAGAGAAAAAAAACGATCAGACGGTACAAGAACAAATACAATAAAAAGCTGAGTTGACCGGCACTCTGCGCCAGGAGATGAAAAGGTTTCTACAAATGTATTTTACGACTACAAAGACGTTTTTACTGCTCATAATTTTGAGGAAAAAGTGCAGATATTGGACTATAATCTTTCTCATGTGCACATGCCAAGTGTCTATGTTCAGGAATTAATAAAATACAATTGAATAACATCCTAACTAAAAATATAGATTTTTTTTTTTTTTTTTTTTAGAATCAACTTTTTATACAAGTGCTTAAATTCAGATGTCATCTGTACTTCAGCTCTCATCCTGAAGATGTCGCTATTTTTCAAGTGTCAGTACTTAAAATGGAGGGAAAAACAACTCGGCATCATGGCAGAGGTTCACCATCACTAATGATGTCAGGTCATATGTTGAAGTATTTCATATTTAAGTTGTGCCTGCAAGAGTGAACCCTGCAATAACAACACTTGAGTAGTGCAACTAAATACAGTGCTCAGCAGCATAACTGAGTTCACCCCATTTTGAAAATGAATCATTTTATCAATTTCTCAGTGCATATAGGTCATACATTTTGGAGCATTTAAACCAGGGGTGTCCAAACTCTGTCCTGTAGGGCCGGTGTCCTGCATAGTATAGCTCCAACTTCCTTCAACACACCTGCCTGGAAGTTTGTAGCATAACTAAAAAAGAGCTTGAGTAGCTGGTTCAAGTGTGTTTAATTTAGGTTGAAAATATAATATGCAGGACACCGGCCCTCCAGGACCGAGCTTGGACACCCCTGATTTAAACAAAAACAATTTATTAAACCGATATATTTATTAAAATAATATTTTAGTCACAGAACATCTTTAAAACTAGAAAGATAAGTAACATAAACTGGATTTGTTGATGTACATGTTTCTATATTTGTATACTCTAATGCTATTATTCAAAAGAAGGTAATGATTCGCACTCAATTGCTTTGTACTGTTTTTTGGAAGACACTGAGGAGGGCTTTGTGCCGAAACGTCTGTTTGTCTGTTATCACCCGTAAAATGTAAGAAAAAGTAAAAATAAAAACAGTACGAAGCAATTGAGTGCGAATCATTACCTTCTTTTGAATAATAGTAACGATCAGATTAACGCACCAAACCAAAGAAGTAACTAAAAAAAAACGCAAGCGCGCAGGACAAACTTCAGTAACTCTATACTCTAATGCTACACTTAATGCTGAATATTCTTTTTGTCAATTGTGTTGTTTTTTATACTGTAAAATGATTTTTTTTTTTTTTAACTAGAAAGATAATACATGTAAATCCGTGCAATTGTACTGAAAAAAAATCATACAAAATTACACATTTTTGTTTCTATTGAATTTTGGCTCTTTATTTATTTTATTTTATTTTTTATAATTTTTCCTTTATATATAAACATGGACATACTCAGTTTTGGACTGTTATCGTAAGTTATTTTGTTAGATTAGCTCCAGATTTAGCTTCAGTACTGACTGATCTACTGTACATGCACAAATATATTTTAAAGCATCCTATAGAAAATAATCATCTAAATGAGAGATTTATAAGGAGTGTACTAGTACATGTTGAGCATTCTATCTGGCCCACTATAATCTACAGACTGCAAATCACTGGTGTGAAACGTATTCACATTCTTTACTCAGGTAGGATTACAGATACTAGGGGGTTTAAAAAGACTTCTGCAAAGTTTGAAGAATCAACTCAGGATGGTTACTCAAGTAGAAGCCTAAGTACTAAGTATAAAAGCAAAGCCACTGACGTTACACTTTATTTCTGACAGGATTTAAGCATTTGTCAGGGAAGACAAATGGATTTTCTGTTTGAAATTGAAACAGTTTTCTGTTGATTCACCAAGTCCTGGAGATGGTGTAAGATTCAAGAACACAACACACCTAGAAAACCACCTGTGTAGCTCTTTGTTTTATGGTTAGTATGTCTTGAGTACACAATGTCCAGACGCAGGATTTATGGGCTTGTTTTGAACGTTTTTTATATCTTAAACGTGTCAGAAAGTTGTTGATTAACTGTTGCACAATTGCGATGTTTTTATCAAGTGCGCTGACAGTTTGCATGCTTAAATATGCACAAAAATGTCATCAAACATTATTTTGTAGTAGGGCTGCACAATATATTTCAGCATTGATATCGCAGCGTGCGAATCTGGAATAGTCAAGCAATTTCAATTGAGTTTAAACTATTTCGACACACGAAATGACCAAGTATGCCACTTTGAGGAAGAAAACTTGTGTTTAATTAATGTGGCAATGAAGACTACAGTGTTATTTTACCTCAATACTGTTAGACTCCACCTAAAAGCATTGCTTATTTAATGTTTTATCTCTGTTTTATTGATCTCAGCTGTGATTTAATTGATATTATTTTGTATATACACTCACCGGTCACTTTATTAGGTACACCTGTCCAACTGCTTGTTAAGGCAAATTTCTAATCCACCAGTCACATGGCAGCAACTCAATGCATTTAGGCATGTAGACATGTTCAAATCTATCTGCTCCAGTCAGACTGGCCATAGGGAGCATCGGGACATTTCCCGGTGGCCTGACGGTCTATCTGGCCTGCCGTCTACCCTTTTAACTTTAATATTTGCTCCATTGTGTTTATTTTAGGGTTGTGAAATTATTAAAAAATAACGTAATTAAATCACACTTTTTTTATAATTAATCACGAAACGCTGTATTTATTACAGAAATAAAAAGACAGGCATTTAAGTGCCATCTGAATTTCAAAACAATCAATGCCAATAACAAACCAAAATGATGTTGGATTTTAAGTAGACTACACACACACAGACAATGCGCGCAGTACAGCGAACCCGATGAGCGAGGGAT